ACCGGGCGGGGGAGGAAGTGGTGGTGGTGGTGGACATGGGACCGGCTCTGGCAACCTGGGGAAGGAACAAGACGGAAGACATCAGGCATTTCTTTAAGACTCTGACAACCTAAGGAAGACACAATACAGAAGTTAGCCATTCTTTTACAGAATAATTTAAAACTCTAAAAAAACACCTAAGGAAGTACTAATACAGGAGTTAGGCATTCTTTACGGACTACTGTTACCAATGATTCAGAAGTAAAGTTTTAAGTCCTACTGATTACTTGAAACTTGGAACAACTTTCAATTCTAGGACAATACATGTTTTGAGAACAGTGTCTACTATCTGTACAGTGCCTTGAACACAAGTTAGGCCCAAAGTACAACTAGATTTTCAAAGTCAATTTTCTGGTTATTTTATGTGGTAAGTTGAGTCAACACGATCCCATACTGATATATGTGAGGCAATACTTTGATGTTGCTGATGCAGTTGCATGTATGTATTGTAGGCTGGTTCTAGCTATTTATTGGCAGCACTACAAAAGTTTATTTTGGGGGTTATTTCATTAACTCTTCATTCCAAGTATTAAATGATGTGCTAAAAAATGAGAGCAAATGTCAATATCAGACAGATTTTCTCATCCAGATCCTCCTACCGGCACACTGGCAGTGGTGTCGGTGCAGTCTGCATGGCGGCGGGTTCTGGAGCCGTGAACAGGACAGCCGACTGCAGCACACGGTGTGGCGATGACTGCACTGTCCCCGAACTCCCACCGCAGGGGAACAACGATCATGACCATCACCAGCTGCAAGGGAAACAGTTAGACATTGGTTAGACAGACATCCGTTATAACCAAGAGGTCCCAGGTTCAAATCCTGTCAAGCCTAACACACTACAGTACAAGTTAAGCAATGATCGTGGCCATCACCAGCTGCAAGGGAAACAGTTAGACATCGGTTAGACATCATGTAACCCAACACCACAGGGTGTCTGCTGCAGCACACCGTGTGCCGATGGCTGCACTGCCCACGAACTCCCACCGCGGGCGAGCAACGATCGTGGCCATCTCCAGCTGAAAGGAGAGATCAGGAAACACTCAATGAACAGTTCTTTTACACAACCGATACTGTCTTACCTTTCTTATGTCTCTGTGTCTATCACCTTCCTCAGAGCTTCTGACAGCCACCTTCATCGGCTACATGTATCAGCGAGAAGCAGAACTTTAGTCAGAAGCTCTGAGGAAGGTGTCTGAAAGACTCTGATAGACACCAAAACGTAAACAATGTAGTCCAACACCACAGGGTGTATGGTCTACAGTCACAGCCATCTGATCTAGGGCATTGACCTTGTGTCTTTGGAGAAGAAGAAGAGCAAAAGCAACATGTTTTCCTTTCGTGAAGGTGGACACACTGTCCCTACAGCTCACAACTATGGGACTGAGTGTGTGCACACGTGTGTGTATGTGTGCAAAAGTAAACACAAAACACTGACCGTTATCACATGGAGGCTGGTCTTCACACGGTGTGTCAGCCTGCGAACAGGCTTCAGGGTCATCACAGGTCAGGTCATGACCTTCGACCTGTTCACACGGCTCCACGGGTGGGTCAAGCCTGGGCGAACTCTGGAACCGGCACGATGGAAGATGTCGGAACGCGTGTCCGTGCGACCCCCCTCCCGGGCTGCTCCCGAACGGCCGCCGGTGCACGAGACACGACGGAGAGTGTACGTGCGGCCGTGAAGTCCCGTGGGGGTTCGGGGAAGAGTGGCAAACCGGACGAGAGGACTGGTACTGGCACGACGGCCGGTGGACACGAGGCTGGATCGGGCGAGGGCTGTGGTGGTGGAAGTGCTGGACTCGCTGGGACGACGCTACCAAAAACAAACAGCAAAAAGTAAAAAAAGTACTGTTATCATCTCTCTCTAACATAGTAGGGCTATAGCATCTCAATGACAGTCCCCTGTGTTCCTTACTACTTCGAGAGTCCACATCACTTTCACACCTACAAAACTGAAATGTTTTTGATGTAGTTCAAAACTTCATTCACTGTACAGGTAGATTCTGGTAATTTATAGATCACTAACTTGTCTTGTTTGTATTTATCTCGGTTTTACCCACCTTGTCATTATGCATGTATTTTGTCAATGTGTTTTTCTGGCATAAACCCTGAAAGATTAGCCTTTTGGCTAAAGAGTATCAAAATAAAGAAGAAATGCACCTGGGACTTGCGGGCGGGGGGAGGCCCCGTGGTTGCCCCCGTGGCGGTGGGACGTCCCGCGTTGGGCGTTGTTGGAACACGGTTCGCGGTGGTGAGGATGGGAACTGGCGGATCCTGGGACGTCGCTGAGGCCCAACATGAAGCTTCGGTCTGGCAGGTGGGAGGAGGGGGGGTTACGGGGACTGGCTGCAGCTTCTGTGGGGGAAAACAAACATAATATTATCTACTCAGCCACATTTGGGATTGTGTTCTCACTGCAAAAGCACCACCTATACTGGCTACATATAGTGGCAAGAAGCAGCACTCCAGTCAGAAGCTCTGAGGACGGTGTCTGATAGACACCGAAACATAGAGTAAGGTGAGACAAGACTGGTTGTGTAAAAGAAAACCCCTATATCTTAAGATTGAATGCTTTGAGTAAAAAGATTTTATGAATGATATTGTGGATTTCTAAAATCTGATAAAGTCAAATATCAGTACAACTGTATAACAGTATAAGAGAAATGTAAAAATGATTAATACTAACAGTAAAGAAAGATCTATATATGCTCTTCAATTTGATACTAACAATATTAACAGTATTATTATATACTATTAACAATATGCTAACACACTGAATTTAAATCTATATATAAAATAGAAATTGCTTGTAGTTAAAACACCTTCATCAGAGCCAGTCAGGTCTACAACAATGGGTGTAGTCTGGTCACTGTTGCCATGGTGATGACCTCTGCCCTCTTCACCTCTGTGCCTTTGGCTACTCCTGCAAAAAAACGAACAAAGGCCTTTCAAGTACATGTAAGACTGAATGACACTAAAACATAATACTAGAAAGGTAACGTTTGCAAAGCAAATGTATAATGTTTACTTTCGCATATGGTCTGCTCTGTTAATTCTTACTCAAATACATTCATATATATGGTCATACAGGAGTCTGAATCCCTCCTGCTATAAAATTGCAACATGATGCAACCCAATACCAGTTACCATGGTGACAGACATCTGGTTCAGGTCATTGACCTTACTGGTTTGGAGAAGAAGAGGAAACAGAGCAAAAACAATGTTTTCCTTCTGAAAAACATAACAAACAAACAAACCTTCCGTGAGGTCGTGGTTCAGAGACGATCTCGATCTCGCTGTCATCTGAGGTCAGGTCAATGGCCTCTGGAGTCTGGGCTCTGTCATTGGTCTTCCGGTGGGGGTGAGAGGTCAGCATGGGGTCAGGGGTCAGAACGTCCACTGAGAGGTCAGTCTCTACATCTGCTTGCTGAAGGAGCAGAGAAAAACAGGTTTTTGAGATAATGTTTCAGAATATGATAAAGTATTTTATTTAGACAAAAATATGACAGAACATACACTAGTACATATCAATGGGAAAAACTAAGTGACCACCAAAAAGTGGGCCGAGTGTCTACCAGATACGTGTACCTTTGACCCAGTGTTGACAGAACACATGTGGCAAGTCTCAAGGGGTCAGTCTACTGAGGAAGACCAGAGTGACTGGTCAAAAGCTAAACATTTCTTTGTGTTGGAACAAAAGTTTTCACTTCAAACAGCATAACTACATGTAAGCATGACTCTTACACGGTTAGGAAGGGGGCTGTGTGTGTGTGACCCTAACTACATGGTTAGGGATGGAGCTTGGACAGTAAAGTCCGATAATGTAGATGACACTTACATGGTTAGGCAGTGGACTGAGCAGGTCGTTGTTTCTCCAGCCCACAGTGAGTGTAAACTACTAAGTGTGATAGTGTAAGTGTGATAGTGTAAGTGTGTGAGAGTGTAAGTGAGTGTAAGTGTGAACCTTACATGGTTAGGCAGTGGACTGAGCAGGTCGTTGTTTCTCCAGCCCACAGTGATGCTGTTCTCCTGAGGCCGGGAGTCTCCAGAGTCGTCGATGCTGACCACGTCCAGGTCTGAACTCGCAGAGGAGCCGGGACTCAACGGGGCAAACCTGGAACATATGTTTACAAAATGTATGTTTATAAGTAACTCTATTACTCACGGATAAAACAACAGTTTCTTACTACTCTTCCTGGAGTCCTGTGCATTAAAATTACAGAACAGAACAGATTTGTTACTTCACAGTTAAACATAGGTAGGACATTAAAATCATGTTTACGGGTTCAGTAGCAGGGAGAAGGTTAAAAACATAAGTGAAGAAAGTCATCTCGTTTTAGCTCACTCAAGAGCTATAAATCTTCTACTGGTTGTGACAGAGAGGACAGACGCTATGTACAGTATTTACCGGTTCATTGTATCGGGGAACCAAGCTTTTTTCGACAAGCACAATGAACAGTGGACCAGGGACTGTGACCCTTCACAGTAGCGTGCATGTCGGGTGAGCAACAACAGTCAGGATTTGAACTCCCAACCTCTTAGTCCAGAGGCAGGGTAGCTAACATTATCCACTGGACTATGCACACTACAGTGTGTAAAAAAACATGCTATCTAACCTGGGACAGTTCTCCTCCCTGTTCGGTGAAGCCCACACCGGCAGGACCCGCACGCTATCCTGCGTCCCCTCGCTCTGGAATGGCACGTCCCAGCTCTCCCAGCTCTCGCCCTCCCCTCCCCATGCACTGCTCTCCCACACCGGGCTCCGACGCCCCGTATCCGTGGTTACGGCTCGAGGGCTGCTTTCCGCCAGGGGACAGCTCTGCCATTGGTCAGCTGCATGCTCCAATCTGTCAGCAGAAATACAATGCGAATTCACCAGGAGATACAGGAAATACAAGGCAAAGTCAGGATAAGTACTGTATCAAATTTTTAACTGACACTTAACAGTTTATCATACTGCTCAGGGCAAGACTTCAAACTAGAGATTTACAGAAATTCAAAGATCAATTCAGAAACCATGTCTAATGCTAGTTTTATGTGGATGGTCCGACCAAATGCACACAAAGAAATAATGGAGTATACAAAAATACCTGTCATATTCTATGCATAGTACATGTATCTGTGTTTTTCAAAAAACTGAAAACAACACTTGAGGAGCTTGTACTAACACAAGTTTTGTAGTTTAATTCCTGTCAACAGTTGCGATACATCACATGTGCAAAACAAGCAACAAAATCTTCAAAGGTTGCTCAAAAAATAAATATCAAATGTTCAGCAAAAAATTACGAGGCTATCAAACAGAAAGTTCCCTACCGTTGAGACAAGGTTACTGAATCCCTGACACTCGACTCCTCCTGTGCCCGCCCTCCCTCTGCCTTCACTACTGTACGGTCCCCAGGCCCCTCTCCCTCCCCCACGTCATCAAACGGACGGTCCAGCCTCTCCTCCTCTTCCGCCACCTGCCAGAACCCTCGCCCTGCGGCATTCTGGGAAGACTCCATTTTCACCCTGATTCCGGACGCGTGCGATTCGCCGTCCTGGTCACATGACGTAACCCGATCTCCCCGACGACTCGCGCTGTACAACAGATTCCGAAATTCCACAACATTCCTTTCCCGCAGCCCACCAACAGAACTGAACGCGTGATTCGGTTCATACACGTTGTTATTCTCTCTCTGATGCCTGCTGCTTACTTCTTCCCTCTCCTGTCTACTATAATCGTGACTGTTTCCCAGATTCGATCTCCCAACTCCATCCTCCCTTCTCTCCTGTTTCGCTCTCACTACCATGTCTAACGCTTTACAAGTCTTCTCTCTGGTCTCCGCGCCTCTATTTAGGTTATTCGTTGCCACATCTCCTAACCCAAAGCTGTTCAGAGTCCTGGCGTGGTTAAAAGAACTTCTTTCTAAGTCTGTATTGCTGTCTGCCGGCTCAAGATTGTCTGCAGAAGAGTTTGACGGCCTGTGGCGTTCGGTATTTTCCGACGATTGGTTTTCGTTTTTACCGAGCTTCGCCAAGTCGCTTGTTTTTGAGTAATCGAGAGGGGCTGGGTTCTTATTGCAATCGTCCGCGCTTGATTTTGATTGGTTGGAAGAATCCCTGCCGTCGCCTGATTGGTCAGTGTTGGAGTCGCCGCCCATCTCCATGGCGTCGTCAGAGGTCGAGAAGTTCAAGGTCAGCCGCTGTTCCTCACAGGAGACGACGTCGATCTCCTCGTCTGTCGCTGAGTTGGATTCTTGGTCACCCATGACAAGATCTATGGGGGGAGGGGGGCAGAACAGAAGTTAGGAATGCCAGGAAACTATATCTTGTTTTCCTATCAGAAAAACAGTGAAATTTATCACCTTGATACCATCTTCGGGATAAGAAGGCTTGCCTGCGGTAATATCAAACAAAATATACAGACATATACATATATAACTTACATAAATACCTTTGTATCATCTTCAGCCTGTATATAGGTCAGGGTACTACCACCCTATACAGGGGGAGATACCCTGATACATAAATATAACTTGACTAATTTAATATCAAAAGGTAGCAAATAAAGTTAACATGATGTCTTATACAATAATTTTTTGGAGGCCAGAGGTTATGTTTAGGAGGATATGTTTTGTTGACAGTACATGGTAAGTGAAACTGAGTCATACTAGAACCCAAACAAAGGAGCATCATGATGACTCAATAGTGATTCACAACAATTCATGAATTTAGTCAAGAAAGACTAACCAAGAGATTCAGCTCCTTTCTCCAGACTGGGCAGACTCTCCATGTCCACCAGGTTAATACTGGCATCGTCTAAAGGGCTCTCTCTCATTCCCTCCATCTTCCTTCAGCTGACAGGCTCGGGTGGGTGCCCCCTAACTCACGCGTGGAGTACTGCAGCAAAATTTTCCTGGAATTAGACAAGATAGTCATGATATTGTTTTATCTACTAGTATTAATAAGTACAAAATTCATGTGTTACTTGTCATAGTATATTTTTAAATGGATTATATGTTATGTTATGTTTATGTTGTGCTTCACATATTCATGTAAAAACAGTTTAAACTGAATAGTAAAAAAGCAATACATACTAAAGTTTCTGCTCCAGTCTATTCTGACAAATCAGCAAAAATGTGTTCTTCATTCATCAATCCCAAAAAGTGTACAAAAATGACAAGCAATATAAAGTGTCATATATGTAAATAATTACATGTCAATCATTTTAGCTTAACTTCCTCCTTTTTATATCCTATCACACGTCATATATCCAATTCTTCTACTATGAAATACTGCCTTTTTACATAATCATAAACATAAAACTAACAATTGAGAGAAAAATTATGGTAAGGACTTCAATCAATACTTCACACACTTAAAAATCATACTAAATCGTAGGGAGGCCGTGACATAATTCATAATGAAAACTCTCATCATAAGGGTGTCAGTACAACATGTATCTCTTCTAAAATTCATCTAAAAAGTCTTCTCCTGAAAATAATGTCCAGAAATCTACTCCAGAACGGGAAAAAGATTATAAGAACACCACTTCAGGGCGGCTTGCATCAAAGGGCCGCTGTCACAGCACACAAAGACGTCCTGATTACACCAACACATAAGGCGATTAACAACAAGAAAACACCAACAAAAACACAACCTCTTTGACTACAACCCTACTTATGCTTGACACTAACACATTCTTACCTTATCTGCAATCTCTGGTGCGAGAATTCGCGGGAATTTAAGGTTCTGGGCCCGAATTTTTGTTCGCCAGTTTTTTTGTGTACAAAGACTGAGTCGGCCGGAAGTGAACGAAAGGCTAACCTAAATACGACATGGCGACATCGCAAAAATTCGCTTATTTCTTCTCTAAAACGAAGGAAAAAGGCAAGACCAACCCGTATAACACTTCGCTGTATACTTAACTCGGGTTTGCTATAGCGTTTTAGCCACGATCATGCGTTAGGGCTGAGAAATTTGACCGAATTCGCAGAAAATACCTCTTTTCTCTCTAGCACAGCTGGTAATTGGATCGGCTCCGTACATTTCTAAAATAGGGGTGTCGGAATAGAACACCAAAATCATTAAAATAATACATAAACTAGAAAGACTAACACTAGACAAATTTTTACAATGTAATACACATCTTATTTAGTATATATAACATTTATTTTCTGTTGATGTTATAGTGCTTTTGTATCTAATTTGATATATTTATCAAAAATTGGTCTCCTATAGGACGAGTGGACTATTCCTTACCCAGGATGCTCGATTCTTTCTTATCAATCAAACGCAAGTGAAGAACAAAAATATATGATAATAGCATTTTCACGGATTAAAATTGTTCTATTTCTATATAATATATTTGTATATTAAAATACTAAAACTAAAATAGCCTTTATTTCAGACTAGTATTCATTCTGTCAAATCCGTGCTGTTTTTAATGCGTTTGGATGCGGTGTTTGTTTAAAGGGTTCAGAGTTCGAAGCCCACCTGTCCTCACCTGAGGTTCCCACACCTGACGTGGCCGGCCGGCGTCCACACACCTTGCCATCGTGTCTTACAACACCTCAAGTCTCCTCAGCATTTCTTAGACACAAGATCAGCCACCTTACAACTGACTTGGCCCTACGATCTTCACTTAAGTGTTGTTGTCTTACGTGGGAGTAGAGGGGACAGTTCGGGTCACCTGAGAGTAGGCGGAAGCTTTAAAGTCCTACCAGCTGGTACAGGTGGGTTGGACCGAATTCACCTTCTTCGTCTTGGTTAGAGAACGATCTGTAAACATCTGGGCTTGTTGTAGTTTCTTCAAGCAAGCGGTGTGTTGTTGTCTTCAAACGATAAACGATTTTTAACACCGGCGGTTTTTGGGGTGAACATTTTGAGACCCCCAGATGTTATGTAATACACGTGGGACACCTTGATACACAACGATCTGTTTAGTCTCTGTTCTTCCCTTGCCTATAAGACAAGTTGTCTATGTTGTTGTCTAATGTCTCGGAAATTATGGAAGTTATGGTCACCTTTCTTTTTAAGTGAAGCAGCATTAACAGCTGTTACAGGTGAGATGGGTCTAGGTAGCCTTGTTTAATTATACAGGGAAACCTGTTTACCTGTTTTCTGCTCAGTAAGCTATTTGTTTGCAAACCTGCCTAGCAGTGTGCTTTGTTACGTAAGCAGTGCTTTGAGTAAATCTAACGTCTACTATTTCATTTTGCAGACACCCCCCTGTACAGAAGATGGTAGATTTGAGTGGTTCTGGGCCTGATGCTCCACTAGAGCACGCCTTCGACAACAGGCTATTCATTATACCAGCAGCCATCATACTTCTAATCATAGGTAAGCTTCATACAGTACATTATGTAGCAAGTAGCAGGACAGGTTTAGAGGTAGTCTGGAGTCCAGCCTTGTTAGCTTTGGTCCGCTCCCCAAGATCCGCTACTCATGGGGAGCGAACCAAAGCTAACAAGGCTGGACACCATTCTAGTTTAGATGGGCTGGTCCCCATATATATATATATATATATGAATGTGTTGGAGTAAGAATAAACAGAGCAGTAGTTTGTTGGGCTATCCATGTGAAGGTAAACATTATGTATGTGCTTTACAAATACTACCTTTCTAGTTTATGGAAATATTTGGTTTTATTTCTTCTTCAATTCTTCAATGTGTCATTCCTCCTCCCACCCCTCTCCAGGTCTTGCTGGCTACAAGCTCTACTCCTCAGTCTCCTCAAGAGAGCGCGCTCGAGAAGAAAAACGGCAGCGGCGCAAGGAACGAAAAGAAGTCAAGACGACAGACAAGAAGAAGAAATAACATTGCCATGGTTACCAGTGAAGTTGCCATGACAACCGCGACATTCCGAGGGTGTCTGACGAAGCTGCTGCCGTGTTCTTTTTGCTGGACAGGAAGAATTCTGGGTAGACGGTGAAATATCGTGGCAACTCCAAATTAAATGCAGTCCTCTGTGTCCGTGTGAATACAGAACAAAGAATCCAGGCAGAATTAGGTGCTCGCTTTGCAGAATTTAACATTGATGTAGCAAAACACTACAATAGATTGTCTAAAGTTAAAACTTTTGGTCCAACACAAAAAGTTCTCTCGCCTAGAGCTTTTGACCAGTCACTCTGGTCTTCCTCTGTAGACTGACCCAGTGAGGCTTGTCACGTGGCTTCTTTGAAGTGTGACGTCAACTCTTGGGAAGACGAGAGTGACTGGTTGAGAGCTCTAGGTGAGAGAATGTTTTGTGTTGGACCAAAAGTTTTAACTTTAAACATGAAAGATAAACTTTCATGACAATAGATTGTTGTTTAAAGAATTGAACTGTTGACTCTATGCTGAAAAAAGATTGCTGTTTTTATGAAATTTATGACTGTGACAAATGTGACCAATTTCTTTCCAGTATGGTCAACAGCTTGGTTCTTTCTACGTGTACAAAGACTGACCTACAAACGCAGATGAACTTTCAAGCAAACATGAAATAATGTGTTACAACCACATTCAGCAATTGGTATTTCATTGTTTGATTGACTATGACTGACCAAATGTTTTGGCAAAAACCACAACTACATTTATAGTTTTGTATAGTTATTCTACAAATGCACAAAACACTCCATTTGGTGTTGAATGCAACCAAGAGATTCTATCAACTTTTTTGCGCAAAGGGAACACAATTCTGTCACAGATGCACATTTTCATGAAAACTGTATTTTATCAGGAAAGAAGAGCACCAAATTCTGCCTGGGCAGTAACAAATTTTATGATTGAGAGTAACTTATGCTAAGTTAACATGACCCGAAAGTCAGTAATTTTTAATTCTTATAGATTTACGTCGGCAAAAGATGTGCAATTTGAATTTTAGACGGTTCAGAGATATAGCTTTTAGTGATTGAGTTAAAATAGCTTTTAACAACTATGACTGTGATCATTAGCAAAATAGTTTAACTGGATTTAGTTTTAGCAGTGAAAATAATCCTGTCTTCTTATAGCTCTGATTTCTGATGTAGCTGTAAAAATTTTGCAGCCCCCTAACCTGCAGTGCCATATTACTGTTAGTTGCAAGAATGGGGGTAGGAAAATGTGATGTCAATTGCAATTATATTATAATGTAAGTTTTTAGCATTTTAACACCTTAGATTTAGGTGTTTATTCCATAGTTGTTGTTAAATAGTAGTCTTTTATCTTAATGTAATAAATGAACATTACACAGATTTTGAAACTTTAGTTATACTGAAACATGTGTCAATTTTTATTTGAGCAAAATTATAATGTTGTCAGATACTCTGCATGAATTGCTGTAACAGTTATGTCAGGCCATAGTATTGATGGAAAGGAATTTTTTAATGTATCCTGGTACCATTCTAGCAGCCCTTCCACTGGTCAGGACCCTAGTAGCCTCGGCATAGCATACCAAAAACTGGGGGTTTTGGGGGTCTTCAGGGTCTTTGGGAGCTTTTATGTGCTATTTTGCTATTTTCTGGTTGCATGTAGACAACATAGCCGGCCTGGTTGAAGTACCACCGTTTTTAGAACTGGGCTAATGAAAAAACAGCCGAAGACCACCAAACCCCCAGTTCTATAAGCCTGCTACGGAGGCTAATCAGAAAACAGCCGAAGACCACCAAACCCCCAGTTCTATAAGCCTGCTACGGAGGCTAATCAGAAAACAGCCGAAGACCACCAAACCCCCAGTTCTATAAGCCTGCTACGGAGGCTAATCAGAAAACAGCCGAAGACCACCAAACCACCAGTTCTATAAGCCTGCTACGGAGGCTAATATTTGCCGACTTCTGTTAGACTAGCCCGAATTCTACCA